AACTTTTCTTTGCATGCTTTTGCGGGCAAAAGTGAATTGCATGCCTTGCCTACATGATGGAATCTTTCTTTTCCTTTTTTTTGGGCTTTGTTTTCTCTTCTGCAGGAACTTGTTTGCGAGCTCTTCAAACGGCAATACCTCGTAAGTTTTTGGCTGTCTTATGTTCTTTAATTGATACATAAATTGAATAATGATGCTTTATGCTGAGTTGTTTGCGATTTCACATTGCTTTCAGTGGGATGGTCCGGTGTTTGAGAGGTCTTCGCTGTCAAAGAAGTAAGTTCTCATGACAGCTCTGGTTCCTAGGCTAATGTACACAGAAATTCTTGAATTATACCATATTACTTCTTATGGGTTCCTTTCTTTCTGTGAAATTGCAATTCACCTACATTTTCTTGTTAAATAATTACCGATTTTGTTTCTTCCATTCCAGCTAATTTTGGTCTCCATATCAATTGCGGTGGAAGAGCAGTGACTATTAATGGAAACACCACGTTCCTAGATGATATAGATGGAGGTGGACCTTCAAGATTTATTGAGAAAAGTAGCTGGGGACTTAGCAACACAGGAACCTTCCTGGATGATGATCGTCCATCAGACACAAATATTTGGCCAAATTCCAGTGTACTTTCTGTCAAAGATCCACAGTTATACATGCAAGCACGCCTTTCTGCCATCACTCTGACTTACTACGGATTTTGTATGGGAAACGGAAACTACACAGTAAATCTCCACTTTGCTGAGATTATGTTTACTGTTGATGAAAAATTTAGTAGCCTGGGAAGGCGTGTATTCGACATTTACATTCAGGTATTCAACACGCAATATGCGACAAACTTGAAAAGTCTGAAAAGTGTTAGTTTGCCTGTTTTAATTAAATTGATAGTAGGACAGAGATCTGATTCCTCATCAATCCTGGCCTATATATATATATGATTTGACTGGATTGGATTATTGCAGGGCAAGCTTGTGCAGAAAGATTTCAATATTGCAGATGAAGCTGGAGGTGTTGGTAAAGCGATTATAAAAAGTTTCATTGCAATTGTGACCAATGGTACCTTGGAGATCCGCTTGTATTGGGCCGGGAAGGGAACAACTGCTATCCCTGTTAGAGGAGTATACGGTCCTCTTATATCAGCTATTTCTGTCAATCCTAGTAAGTTGTATGCCATTATGAGCTTCTTTTATTCATTGAAATTAATCACTGATTTCTAGAATAACGAAAAGGTCTCTCATCTTCATAATTATTAGAGTATAAGATAACATATCTGGTAGTGGAATATAAGCATTGTCATCTCATCAGCCTTGACTTTCTGTGCTTGCTTTTAAACAGATTTTGTACCTCCGGCAGAACCAGGCAGTGGAAGTGGTATCTCTGCAGGTGCAGTGGTTGGCATCGTAGTTGCAGTAGTTGTTGTGGTTTTGCTGGTTTTGGGTATTCTTTGGCGGAAAGGCTGTTTCGGACATAAAAACACAATGGAGCAAGGTAGTTGCACTCTACAGAAATTGGATTTTTATTTCTTATTATTATCACTTCTGTGATATATTATTTTGTTTGCTGCAAAGCTATGTATCTTTCTGTAGTTTGACCAACTGAGAAATATAGCTAATGTCAATTGAGAAGCTTCTCTGCCAGTTAGGATTCAGAAGCTTCAATGTTTTATCTTACAAAAGCTTCTAACCTAACTCAGCTTCTTTTACAGATCTAATTGGTTTAGACCTCAAAACTAGTTCATTTACACTAAGGCAAATTCGTGCTGCCACAAACAACTTTGATCCAGCCAACAAAATTGGGGAAGGTGGCTTTGGTCCTGTTTTTAAGGTATTCTATACAATTATTCATATATTTTTTTTTTCCCATAGCATTTAAATCTAGCATGCTCATCATTCTTTCCTCCAAAAATATAAACATCTTGTGCAACTGACACTGACAGCACTTCACTAATGCAGGGTGAATTGGCAGATGGCACCGTTATTGCAGTTAAACAGCTATCCTCAAAGTCAAAGCAAGGAAATCGCGAATTCATCAATGAGATCGGCATGATTTCTGCTCTACAGCACCCTCATCTTGTAAAATTATACGGATGTTGCATTGAAGGAAATCAATTGTTGTTAGTCTATGAGTACCTGGAAAATAACAGCCTTGCTCGAGCATTGTTTGGTAAAGTTCTTTTTTGATAAATTGTTTGGTGTTGACTAGTTTACTTTACTTGCCTTTCAAAGAAACTTCTGAAGGGTAATACAAATTTTTCATGAATCAGCCAATTAATGTATCTAAAATTTTATTGGTCGGTAATCTGAAGGCCCAGAAGAATGTCAGCTGAAATTAGACTGGCCAACAAGACAAAAGATATGTGTTCACATAGCAAGGGGTTTGGCATATCTGCATGAAGAATCAAGATTGAAGATTGTGCACCGAGACATCAAGGCCACGAATGTGCTGCTAGATAAGGGTCTAAACGCTAAGATATCTGATTTTGGAT